GTGTGTTCATGATATGTATAAGTTTAGATGTGCCTGTGTGTGCCTGTGTGTGTGCGTGTGTGTGTGTGTAGAGATCAAAGGATAACTTAAGAGTCTGTTCTTTCATTCTACCGTGGATTCTGGTGAACAAACAGATCATTCGGCTTGTGTTGCAAGTGATTTTACCCACAGAACAATCTTAGCAGCCCTGCAGACACTTTCTTTTTCTTTTTGGTGGTACTAAGCATTGAATTCAGGACCTCTTGCATGCTAGGCAAGTGTCTTACCACTGAGTTATATCTGCAACCCTAAAACTTTTTTTAATGTGTAAGTTTCATCCATTACAGTAGCATCAGCTTGCAGAACTTGGTGGCCATGAGTGCTTGTCCTCAAGCCCCTTGACTGGTGAGATTTCATCCTCTACTGGAGGATCTGTCTGTGAGGTCACAGAGTATATTCAAAGCTCAGGTTTCAGATGTACGCAGAGCTGACTTTCTGCCAGGCTCTACTTTTTGTCATTGTTGCTCTGAGGTTTTGTTTGTTTTGTTTTGTTTTTCAGATCTGCACAGCATCTTAATCTACTGGGGATACATAGCAGCTTGCGCTCTGAGTCTTCCTTGTAGTGTTGTGCAGGGTCTGCGGAGCCCCTAATTAAGCCTCCTTTGGCTCATCTCCAGGCTCTCCCTGCCAGGTTTCTAACTGGTACAATGGTCCTTTGCTGAGCTCATGAAGGGACTGCAAGTCAGCAGAGCCACAGGCTTCTGCCACCTCCGCCCTGAGCTTGCTCCTACTTCTTACAACACAGCTGGCTGTGAGTCTTCTCCCCTCAGCAGCCAATGGAATCATCTCAGTCTTTACAAGTGTAAAGAGCATCTCTGCAACACTGATCCAGCTGGCAGGGGTTGAGTGGGTCAGAAGATACTGGAACAATCCAACCTGTCCCACCACCTAGTCATACATTTTCCAGTATCCTTACATGATTCTTGCCTTGATTTCGGTAGTTTTTAATGAAAAAATTAGTTCTTTCTCTATTTGACTTTTGCTTCTGACCTTTAATTAGAACATGAGAATTATTGCTTGGGGTTGCTTGGGATGTTTGTTTTCTTCTTCCGGTATTTTTTTTTTCTTTTTTTTTTTTTGGTGGGAGGACACAGGATTTGGCAAACACTTCATTCCACTTCTCAATGTTTCACATCATTGGTTTTTAATGTTTTGGTTGGATGTAAGTTTTTGTGTGTAGTTTTTTTTCCTTCCTAGGCTTTAAAGATGTTCCTCCACTTTCTTCTACCTTGCATAATCTTTGATGAGAAGGTTCCTGTAAGTCTTGTGCTTGTTCTTTGTTATGTAGCATTTCTCTTTTCTATAGTTTCCTTCAAGAATGTTTTCTTTTGTTGATTTTTAGTAATTTATATTAATACTCTGTCTTAACATTAACTGAAGTCAACACAGTATAAACTCACCTAAAAAAGTATCTGTAAGAATAAATTGCCTTTATCAGGTTGGTCTGTGGACATGTCTGTAAGGGATTATCTTGATTGTTAGTTGATGTGGGAAGGCCCAGCCCAATATGGGCAACAACATCCCCTGGGAAAGTGGTTCTGGTTTGTGTAAGAAAGGTAGCTGAGCATGAGCCTGTGAGTGAGCCAGCAAGTAGTGTTCCTCCATGGATTCTGCTTCAAGTTCCTGCTTATGTTCCTGCCCCGATTTCCTTCAGTCATAGACTGTGACCTGAAAGTACAAGCCAAATAAATCCTTTCCTCCTCTAAGTTGCTTTCGGTTAGAGAGTTTTTTAATCACAGACAGAATGAAACTAGAATACACACCTAGGTGGGTTTCATCCTACTTCGTGCTCACCGAGCTCCAGCTACTTGTGCTTTAGCGTCTGTCATTAATTTGAGGGACTTCTTGCCCATCGTCTCTTCATTGGTGTTTATACCCTGTACTCTCTCTCGTTCCTCTTCCTCTATTCAGTTTACTGATACATTAGACTATTTGAATTGTCACACTGTCCTTAGGCATTCTGTACTACATTTTCTTCACTTTTTGTTTTTGTGGTTTGATGTGGATAATCTGTTGGTAATAGTTTGAGATCAAACTATTGTCTGTTGTGTTGAGGCAAATAATGAAGTTGTGGACAGCATTCTGCATGCTGTGTGGCCACCCCCCCATGTCCATTTCATTCTTTTTAGTCAGTCATACTTCTCTTGAGGTTCCTCACCTATTCATAAATATTAGCCACTTTTTGTTTGGGATTTTTTTCCTTCTTCCAATTAAAAACATTTTTATATTAAATTGTCTGCTATCTTCAATATCAAGGCAATTTCAGATTCTAGTCTATTGTTCATTCATTCATTCATTTGGTTATTTACTTGGCCCTTTATTTTAGGGTTTGTTAATTTTGAAAGGTGACATACAAAGCGATGGACTTCATCATGGCATTTTCAGACATGTTTGTCATTATACTTTCTTCCCACTCATCTTCTTTTTCTCCACTGCTCTGCCTCCTTCTCCCTTCCCTGCCCTTTCTGGTCCCTTCCATCCTCCCAGGTAGTCTCCCATTCTGCTTTTGCATCATGTGTATTGCATTATTCCATCTTTTTTCTCCGATGCCCTCCTTTAAGAGCTCCTCCTTCTCTATCGTGCTGCCTTACAAGAGGAGTCTATGTATTTCAAGGAATTTTAATACATTCTTGATCTTTAATTACCAGGTACCAATAGGATTGCCCCAGCTATGGCAATAAAAGTATCTCTAGACATTGCCGAATTTGGAAATAAAATGACCCCTTTTTTAGAACCACTGCTTGGACTCACCCTGCTCCATCTTCTTTCTGTGCACCCAAGAGGTGGGCAGAGAACAGCCTGGGAATGAATGAGTGTGAAGTCCCCCTGTGTTTGAAGATCCCATTGGTTCCCACTTTCACGTTAGGTCATTGTGTTAGTTAGCTTTGCACTGTGATAAAATGCTGAGAGAATAAGGTGAAAAGAAGGAAAGGATTACTCTGGCTCACAGTTTCAGAGGTCTCAGCCCATATTCAGTTGGCACCATTGCTTTGGGCCTATGGCAGAGTAGTAATTAATAGAGCGTGTATAGTGCTGAGAGAGAGAGAGAGAGAGAGAGAGAGAGAGAGAGAGAGAGAATATACACCAATATCCTCTTTAAGGAAATGCTCAGCTACCTAACTTCCATGAGACCCCTCCTTCTTAAAGTTCCACCATCATCTGCTATTGCCACAGAGGGAACCAAGCCTCAAATAGATGGGCTTTTGGGAGACATCCACTATAGTAGTGACATTCATATTTTAGAAACTTATTAAGTTTTCAGATGAATTCTTCTTCCTGGCTTATGAGGAGTCTATGTCTGATACAAGCAGGTGCCACTCTTCCTGTAGGCACTGAAGTGCCTCTAGATTTCAGGTTAACTAGTCACTTTGCAACCTCAGTTCTGTGACAAGACCTTATCACCCCTATGGAGAGTAACTGTGTCTTAGTGACCATCCAAGGTGGGATGTATACTATTCATTTTATTTCCCAAGACATGTTTGAATGTAGAAAACCTTTGGGAAGTATGAGCTTGAGAAATTACATTACTGTGGGTGCCAGGAAAAGTCTCACCACTCTCTTAAAATGGTCGAATTCAGATGCCCATGAGGTCCAGACATATACTTGAGAAATATACATGAGTGGAATGTGGTGGGTCTGTTTCCTTCTATTTTGCCTGATCTGTGGTCTACTTTTGATAGTGTCAGGGATGGAGAGAAATGATACATTCATTTTCTCTCTCTCTCTCTCTCTCTCTCTCTCTCTCTCTCTCTCTCTCATAGCTTTAGTTGTCAACCTGACATACCTGGGCAGAGGGAATCTCAGTTGAGGAATTGAGGAATTTCTTCCATTGGACCGGCTTGTGGCCATGTCTGGGAGTTATTTTCTTGATTTTTGAGTGATGTGGGAGGGCCACTGTGGGTGGTGCCATCCCTGGGCAGGTGGTCCTGTGTTGTATAAGAAAGCAGACTGAGTTTGTGCCAGAGGAGCAAGTCAGTAAGCAGCATTCCTCCATGGTCTGTGCCCCAAGTTCCTGCCCTGAGTTCCTGCCTTGGCTGCCCTTGATAATGAACTGTAAGCTGTAAGCCAAATAAACCCTATTCTCCCCAACTTGGTTTTGGTCAGTCTTTTTATCACAGTGAGAGAAAGTGACTAGAACACACATACAGACATTCTCTCTGTCTCTGTCCCTGTCTCTCTCTGTCTCTGTCTCTCTCTAAGAACTGGAATAATTTAGTTGGCTTGCTTGCATGTAAATTGGAATATGCCTTGTGATAGTTTTTGTGCATATTCTATTGTCTTAAAGCTACCTATTAAAGGTACCTGTCCGCTTAGAGAAAATTTCATTGCACATTAAATATGTATCACAGCCCCACTACTTTCCCAGCTCTGCTCTAGGCTCTCGTGTGGGTTGCAGCAATGAATAAAATAGCCCTGCTGGGGGTGGTAGTTCATGTCTTTAATCCCATCACTTGGAGAGACAGAGACAGGTGTCTGTGAGATCGAGGCCAGCCTGGTCTACATAATGAATTCCAAATCAGCTGGGGCTACAGAGAGACCCTGTCTCAAATACTCCATCCCACAATAAAAGATAAAAACCCCGGCCTGTATGTCCTTAGGCACTATGCTTCGGTGTGCAGTCTGAAATACAGAGATGGAAGCAACTGACAGCCTGGAGTTGGTAGCTCATATAAAGCATGCTTACCCTGGCCACCCATCACTCACCCCCACCATTCACTACCAGCCAAGGCTCTTGATGCTATGTTGGCAAAGCTTGGAATTTGACCAGAGGAACCAGAAATTGGATTTCTAGGCGGTGATCTTCTCATTTTTAAATAAGGGATCAGAGTTTTTCAAACCACCGTGGAGGTTAAAGCAAACATGTTTGCAGGCAGGCTCTGGTGTGTGACCTTGTCTAACACCATCTTTGCCCTTGTTGGTATGCTTGAGAAGAGAGATGCTGCAGAGTGACAGCTGCAGCCATGCTCATTCCCTCCCTGAAAGCAATGAGCCAGTCGACAGAGACGTGGCAATGCCAAGGCTCGAGCTGCAACCCGAGGTTAACATCTCCAGTGAAAGTCGTTTCCAAAACCAGCCTTAACACAAACAAGGCTGGTTTTGGAAACGACTTTCACTGGACTATACAAATCAGTCCCAGACTATTCAATCTGGACTTCACAGAATGTGGTAAACAGGTGACTTGTAAGCCAATTCCATTGCCGTGAGCAACTTGCTAGGAAGTCTGCAGCTGGCTCTGAAAAATATGTGAATTCTAACAAACGTGCAATTCTGTGGTCCAAGCCCGTAACAACCGTGAGAGTAACTAATGGAGCTCGTTAGTTATTGAGGGAAGTGCTCCTGAAAATATCCAAACTAAGGCTCTTTCTTGTTTTTTTAAATTATAGTGTTTATTACCCTTTTTCATTTTCAACATGAAGATAGTTTGTATAATACAGGTTTTCTAGATGATTATCAAGTTCATCAGTTTTCTGATAGGCTTCATATTTAGCAGGTTATTTAGGGGCTAGGCTGTGGGAGGTGTGGTGGTTGAGCATTCATCACTAACTCATTGCAATTATTATTGACTGGCAAAACCAGCTCACTGTCCCATGAACCTGTCAATCTCATTCCCATCACAACCCTTGCCCATGTTTCTTCTATTAACCTTCAGCTATCTGATGATGTAATCCGGCCATCCATCCCCCAACGTTCACTCAGAGATACGTGCACACTCTTCCTGGGGTCCCTAAGCCCTTCCTGATGATCCATCTTCTTTGGTGTCTGAGACATATGTTCAACTATTTCACTTTCCAGAGCTCTTAGCAGCCGAAAGACTCTTCTATCTTCAGTCAGTTAGGCACCTCTCCCTGAAGGTCCTCAAATCAAGCTCCTTAGAATTGCACTGAGGATATACATTCATGTATTAGATTTCCATCAGGGCTACATTCTTGCTCAAATCTTCTTATGCTCTCAAGGGCATATATTCACCAATTTTCTTCAGGGTCAGGTGAGCATTTTATTCTTTATCAGCCATGGTATAATAATGGTCCCCAAATTGTGCAAATCCAACCACAGTCTCCAAACTCCAGCTCACAGAAGCTCAAAGATTCAGATTCTTTATTGTAACTATTGACCTAAGCTTCCAGAAATTTCCCAGCAGGGAGGTGGTTTGGGTCACACCCATTGCTCGAGAGACAGGGAAAATGCTGGTTTCCATCAAGCCATGTTTTAGATTCAACTACATATTTTATATGAGGTAATAAGAGATTTTGATCTTATTTCTCAATCACACTCCAATTCTGCTGACGTTACATTCTGGTTATTTATGTAGAATGCTGTCTAAAATGTAATCCTCTGTGAAGAGATCAAGGTGATCTGCTTTATTGAAAGTTTTCTAAGCCTTCAATTGACATTAACCTTAAGAGGTAACTTGCATGGGCTCTTTGGGCAAATTCACGTGTCTGCAAAATGTGTTTATGAGGACAATGAAATGAGCAACTTTACAAGTTGAAAACATCCGAAAAGATAAACACTATTAGATTAAGTCCAAATTCTAGGAAACAAAAGGAAACTGGTTTCCAGTCTACATTTGTTGTGTAAAATACAGACATCGGAATCACTCTAGCTAATGTGCCTTGGGTTGAGGGTAGGGGGATAAATCAAGTCCAACTTCATTTTCTAAAAATTGGTTAAAATAGACTCATAATTTTTTAAATTAATTTACAAGTATCTCATTTATTTTAGGACACGCTCATTCAATTTAATTCGGATCTTTTATGTTACACTTACATACAAAGTAAAAGTCTTAAAATTAACTCTAAAAGACTGAAGTCCTTCATTTTTTCCCCCCTCACCAATAGGTTTTAAGAATTCCCACACACTCTGTGGAGTGACTGAATTTTTTTAAAAAATTATTTTTTATTTTTATTTTATGTGTATGTATGTATTGTCTGCATGTAGGTAAGTGCACCTGTGTCATGCAAGTGAATTTTTTAAAAAATTATTTATTTTCATTTTAAGTTTATGAGTGCTTTGTCTGCATGTATGTAAGTGCATTCATGGGTACAATGCCCATGAAAGCCAGAAGAAGGCATCTGATTCCCTGGAACTGGAATTATAGACAGTTGTTAGCCACCATGTGGGTGCTGGGAACTGAACCCAGGTCCTCTGCAAAAGCAGTCAGTACTCTTAACCGCTGAGCCATTTCTCTAGCCCCAAAGCGACAGTCTAGATTGATAACTGACTGCTCCGGCTAAGCTGTGTCACCTGTGTCATTCGTACATCATGTGCTGTGTTTTAGTGCCAGTGGTGATCATTTCAAAAGGACAAATTCTAAGTTTAAAGGATGCCTTTGGTGAACATTATAATAATAAATGCTGAGACCATTGTTCATTTTTTAAAATTCCCCATTTATTGTAATCATTTGGGCTTCAGACTATATTCCAGTACAATATTTCTGTCAATTGAAATATTACTAAACATGAGAATTTGAAAATGCCAATTTATTGCATGACTCCCCCAAAGAGGCTTAAGACTGTTAAAAATCAATTTCCTCTCATTAAAATTTTTATATTTAATATCTTTGCTGGGTAATATTTGCAGGGTTTAAATCTATTTGACTCCAAATGCACATATTTATCCTTGACTTTATCAGATATTATGTATCTATGGCAATTGCAAAACTGGATCATAATTTAAAAAAAGCCTAGTTTCATAAGTGTTGTGTGGCAAATTGTCATTGTGTCTTGTGTGCAGTGTGAGTTTGCCCTCCTTTGGATCCAAGATAGGAAATTTTGGTTATTTAAATCAAGTCTGAATTTTTTCCCTAGCAACTGCATTTGTTAAACATTTTGTATTTATTGATTCAAGGTTTTAGGAGTCTGACTAAACAAATGAAAACAACATAATAAAAGACATCAAATTAGATCCTGTTGACTTCACGCTTAGAATTTTCACGACTGCTAAATGTCATCATAGCTCTGCAACCCCAAATTGCTTCATATATCTTATGATCAGGTCAATTTATTCTGGTGTATTATTTTTCTTTTTTAGATCTGCACATCGCCATCGGCAAGGAGCAGACACCATGGATAGAGAGGTGAGACCAACATAGTCCCCTCTTTGATATTTTGCTTTAAAGGCAGCCCTTTAAGCTCCATATTTCACATTATCCATGAATGGAAAGTACAGAAGTGTCAGACTTTGAGCGTCCTTTGCAGCGCTCACAAGCGAAGAGGGTGATTAAGGAATGGGTGGGGCAGAGTTTAGCCACGAAGGGGAGTCTTTACAAGTTAAACAAAGGCGCCTTCAGACTTCTCAGGGATTCCCATGATCCATACGAGAACTTCACTGCGCCTGTCCACTGTTTCTATTTTTGATTAGATTTATAAACACAGCGCCACATATTTTCATGTGGCTTATCGCCCAGGGGCAGAATTAGATGGGCTGAACTGAAACGGGGAGGCTTGTGAGTTTTGGGCCAGGGCTGGAGTGAAATAAGTGGTGTAATTGTTTCTGTAGCGTTAACGTGGGACCTCCTCTGTTCTGAATTACACATGGCTCAGCCCTTTGACCTAAGCAGGCTCGGCGATGGCTGGCACAGCTCCTAAAGTTGCCCTGGAAGGGTCGTCGCCTAGCGAGCGGAACGTCATCTGTCAGGCGAGAGGCCGGCCAAGGACTCTATTCAATTATGTCCGTTCCCAGTGACACACATTTACTACCACCTCGGCTTCATTTAACCCTCTGTCATATCAGTTATTAGTGCAGCGGGAAGTGCCAATGTGGGTGGGGGCTTGGGGAATCCAAATGTAACCACTGTGCTTTGGTTTTAGTTTATTAAACGTTGGGTCCTCTTCAGGAATATTGTGCCTAATTATTCTGTCATGATGATGATATTTTGAACATGTAATTTGGGGGGAAGTGTTATAAATCATGACTACAGTTTTTTTTTCATCTTAATGGGCTTAATGTAAACATTTTCAGAATAGGAGGTAACTCACAGATACAATTCCTTGAAATAATCAGAGCTACCGGGATACAGAACTTTTAGAAGTGGAGGACAAAGCTATCTGCTGACACTTTTGCAATGATGAAGAATTCATATTTCCTGAATTGTTCAGTGATGGACTGGATAAATGTATCTATATCTTCCTAAGTAGAATATTGTACTCAAATACTTGCATTTTATTTTGGCCTCAGTAAACCAAAATTTCAAAGGCACTGTAAGCAAAGAACTCAGGGTTTACATTCAGGCACATGGGACTATTTTCAAAACTAGTTCTGTTTCTGAAGAAGGTCTAAAAAAATTTAAATTTCTTTCCTTTTTTTTTTCTCTCACTGCCAATTTTACAAGTAAATGTCTCTATAGGTGCTTTATGCTTATCACCACTTGGAAATAATTCATTTAATATTTTTCTTTCTCCTGTGAGGCAACACAGACTAAATATTAATTTGGTATTAAGTAGCATAATATTTAAATACTTCTTTAAACAGTACACACGTCACTTTTAAAAATAGTATTATCTTAATCTAGGGACTTTAACATGAAGATGGAAAGGGACCTATCCAATCAGTTACAAAAGAATCAAGCATTAAACATTAAAGTAGCCCATAAGCTCCCTCCTTGCAAATCCTGCACCCCGCCCCCCAATCTTGTTCTCATTAGCAGTGAAAGAGTTGTTCCCCACGTGATCTGACATGAAATGCTCTGAGCAGACAGGTGCAAATTGCAAGCTTTTCACTTTAGCTGTTATCCCTTTAAATCGACAAATAGACTGGGGGAACAAAAAAGATTCCAGCCAGAGCTGCTTAGATAAAAGTTTGAACAGGGACACACTATCTGAACACTAAGTAGTCCCTTCAAGTCCCTGGGAAGCGGCCTTTGGTACCCTCTCTCTCTTTTCTTACTGAGGGGATGGATGGTCCTGTTGAACCACATGGCTATGTGGCAGAGGTGGGTAGGGGTAGACATCAGTGTTCTTGCTCCCGTCTGTCACCTCTACACATCCCATGAGCTGAATTGGCCTCCTGGGGCAGGACCACATTGACAATGTCTCTGTCTCTCTCTGTCTCTCTGTCTCTGTCTCCTCTCTCTCTATCATCTCCATTTCCATCTCCATTTCCATCTCCATCTCCATCTCCATCTCCATCTCCATCTCCATCTCCATCTCCATCTCTATCTCCATCTCTATCTCTCCCTATCTCATTTTGCTTGATCTAAGCAAAGGCCCATAGCAGTTAAACAACAAAACAGTTGCCCTTATCCCCATCTGTCTCCCAACCAGATGAATCTGCTTAGCTAGTTTGCTGAAAAAACTCAGGTATTCCTATTAGGAAGAACTAATTTCATTTCATGGAAGAGATGTGCCAGGGCAGCCTCTGTAGGAATCTAAGGCATATATTTCTGAAAGGGAACTGGGAACACTGTCACTATGAAGTGACCTCTCTTTGTAACATCCCGGTGTGCACTGGAACTGTTGTCTGGGAGAATGAACTTTAACTTGAGCTCTGAAGCACTGAACTCTGACTGTGGGATCTGCTCCTATAGATAAGGGTAGGGAGACAACTTGAGATAGCCTTGTTTACATCTGGGCATAAGAGAACAGTCACACACAAATGAGGGCTGACGGTTTCATGGAGCACACTGGCTGATCCCAGATGCAATTTGACTGGTCTGAACTGAGCAATGATCCATACAGTATGCAGAATGCTCTCTCTGGCTGGTCTGTGCCCACCAGCCTTGAAGGGGCCTCCCCATACCCCTCAGCCACGGCTGAGTGCAACCAGAGCTGAACAGCAGCACCATGGGACCGATTTCTTCTGACAACGATCACATTCTTTCACAAACTTCGTGGATTTGCGTTGTCACTGATTATGAGTTTGTTGTTGCTCATGTTCGCTTGCTCTGTCAGAGAGTTCCTTTCCAGTTGAGAATGTGGGCATCAAAAGATATTTAGTGCTTTTTAGTGAAAAGGAAAATATCCTGAGAAACACTGTCACTTCATAAAAATTTCAGGCAGTTTCTTTTTTCTCTGTTCAAAACACAAATTATTGTTCTCTTCCACATTATGTAATATACTCTTATTTAAAAGAATGATCCAACATTTAAAAAGAGATGATTTGTTTCTACTTAAAAATATACACAAGAGCCGGGCATGGTGGCGCATGCCTTTAATCCCAGCACTCGGGAGGCAGAGGCAGGCAGATCTCTGTGAGTTCAAGGCCAGCCTGGTCTACATAGTGAGTTCCAAGACAGCTGGGGCTATAGGGAGACCCTGTCTCAAAAAGACAAAAAAAAAAAAAAAAAACACACAAAAGGTACATCTTATAAATGAGTGAGTTCTGGAGATCTGTGACACTGTGCTTACAGTTCATATTACAGTGTGGAAAACCGTAGTTTGTCCCAATCATTTTACAAGGCAAATGTCCTGTTATCTGTTCATATCAGCATTTTTAAAAGCTTAAAAATATACAAAACTGCTCATTTTGATTTGGTTTAGAGAGTAACAGCATCAACTAAACAAACGTGAAGTGTGTGTGTGTGTGTGTGTGTGTGTGTTTGTGTGCCTGCGTGTGTATAATGACTAAGTTTTGTTCCTTTATTTTTTGAAATATACTACAGATTATAAGTTCATATGTATAAGTTCATATGAATGTATTAAGAATGATAACGTTTCCCCTAAGTGGTAATAAACAGGATGATGTAAAATAGGAGTGAAGGAGAGTGTTCTGGGAGCTAAGCAGTTAAAAATCTCACCAAGGAGGAGAGAGAGAGAGAGAGAGAGAGAGAGAGAGAGAGAGAGAGAGGTCTGAATTCAGAAGGGGGTGTAGGAAAAAGCAATTTACACTGCTTAAAGGTGCCCATGTGTAAAGGAGAGAAAGGACTGAGGAAATTGGTGGAGAGAAGTCGGAAATCAGTCCTAATTTCCTCTTGAACATGTGTTAGCAGTAAAGAGGTCACAGAACACAAAACGTCACTCACTAACCTCTGGGAGGACTCATTGCATCCCTTTAAAACACATGAACTTGTGAAAATATCTTTCAGACCTTTCTAATGTTGAAAGTAAGTGTGTAATTTCATTTGAAGTCCTTAGTAAGGAAATGAGGTTTATTAATAGGCCACATCCATCTATTTAAAAGCATGTTTAACTCAATCGGAAAGGACCGAAGTGCCAAATTTACTGAACCATGTCTAGAAAACTAATATCTGCTGTTATTTCAGATGAAGGCTGTGAAAAAAACAATCACACTTCAATCTTGTTTCTAATAAAATGTCGGAACATGTAGGGCCATTGTGAGCTACTGTTTCTATGAGTTTATCAAATTTTTAATGAATGTGGTCTAATGCTTTAAGTTAAAACAAAATCCCTAAATTGTGTAACTTTTCTGTTGTGACTTACAACATATGATTTCTTTAAAATTTTATTATTGTATGTGTGTGTGTGTGTGTGTGTGTGTGTGTGTGAGAGAGAGAGAGAGAGAGAGAGAGTGCATGCTGTGACACATATGTGGAGTTCAGAGAACAACTTTGTGGAGTTGGCTCTCTCTTTCCACCTGTGTGGGTTCTAAGGATTAAATTCAGGTAGCCAGGACTGAACAGCAAGTGCCTTCATCCACTGGATGGCCTTACCAGCACTAGCATGCATTATTTATTGCATGACTGCAGTTTTATTCATCCAAGCAATTTTTAGGGTCTATACCAGATTCCGTGACAACCCCCCTGGATGTTATTTACATCTTCTAAAGAGAGCTATTATGCACAATGCACCATTGTACTTTATGGACATAAAGTGAAATATAAATTCAAAATTCTTTAATTGAAGAGAGATGCCTTTACGTTACTGAACTTTAAGCAAGACTTGCTCTGCATTTTCTTTAAAGAAAGACCTTGAAATTCAGGTTGAAGGCTTTTGAAGATCTTTGAGGTGGGATTGCACTGGGTATTACAAGCTTGTCTGGAATTCTGCAGGTAGCTCTTTGGTCCTGAACATGACATTCCCTTGTCTCAACCTCCTGAGTGCTGGTATTACAGGTGTAAACTACCACACTGTCTCCAAAAGTGCTTTTATTTTACTTTTTTGAGACAAGATCTGGCTGTGCAGTCCTGGTTGGTTTTGAACTTGCAGACTACCCTCTTGCTTCAGTCTCCCAAGTGCTAGGATTACAAGGGCACCAACATGCCTGCCTTCCAACTGTTTTTTGAGTATACTTTTTCCTTCAGTTTTGTCCACAATGGTATGAAATGCCTTTATAATATTGTACATGAAACATTTGTTTAAAGGAACAGAGTTCTCAGAAAACAAGACTTTGAATTTTAGTTGGATTAGGACATATTATCAGTTTTCATCACGTTTTTGTGATTATTATTTTTTGTTTGTGTGACATACTATATTTAATTACTTTGTGATGCTATAAGACTAACAGCATTTTGAAAGAAGTTGGACTTGTTAACATTTTAACTAAAAACAGGAATATTGGACACTCCCACAAACTGATCCAAAATTTCAAACTCATCAGGGTTTCAAAGTGAACAAGGCACTGTTTCTTATTCTGAATGTACTAGTGTACTCATCAGAGGCATCATGAATGGGTTGCCTGATGTGGAGCATCTTTACATCACAAATCAGGATGTCTGATCATGAACTGGGCTATCTGAAATAGAGCATCTTTTACCTCCTGAATAGGCTTTCTGAGATGGAGCATTGTTTGCCTCATGCGAGGATGGTCTCAAATGGAACAATCTTCCATATAACCATGGTTTTCTGATCCCTATAGACTTCATCTTTTTTTTTTGCTTTTTCACTTCTTGTCAACCTAAATCTTATCATTTAGTCTGAGTTTGGGTATTTCTACCACAGATTTTAAAATTTAATCTGACATATACCAAGTATTCATTTGGAAGTATATAACTCTGGGAACTTTAATATTTCTGGCTATTCATTTTCATTTTTGACCATTTATTATGCATTCTAATATTAATGGGTTTTTCAGTCATGTAATGAATTCTAGTTTTCCCTGGTGTGGCACCTCATGAAAGCTTTGTGACCCCCATAGAATACAACTTTCTTGGCATTTCACATGATTGCTTGCTACTGATATTTTGGAAGGTTGGATTGTATATATCCCTGATTGGATTTTTAAAAAAGAATTAGTTCATATTCTGGACTCTAGCAATTTAAAACAGATTTGGATGCAAGTGCGAAGAGACAGGAAATACATGCAAGTTTTCTTGAGTGTGTATAATATGTAAGTGTGCATGTTCTTGTGTGTGAGTGTGGGTGCCGTTGGCATGTGTGTGGAGATCAGAGGACAACTTCGGGTACCAATCTTCACTGTCCACCTTGTGTGAGACAAAGTCTCTTCATCACTGTGTACAGTAAGCTAGTTGTCCTAAGAGCTTCCATGGCTGTTCCTGTCTCTGTCTCCCATTTCACTGTAGGAACTGAGGTACTTACAATGTGGCAAGCACTTAAGCACTTTATCCACTGTGGTGGTTTGAATGAGAATGTCCCTCAGAGGCTCCAAGTATTTGAACACTTTGTCTCCATTTGGTGGCACTGTTTTGGGAAGTCTTAGAAGATGTGGCCTTGCTGGAGGAAGCATGTCACTGGAGGTGGGCTTAGAGAGTTCTTAAGCCTTGCTTGACTTCCAGTCACTCTCTGTTTCCTGTGTCTACTTTAAGATGTGAATGCTAAGCTTTCTACTCCAGCCACCTCTGCCACCATGCCGCCCCACCATGATGGACTCTGATCCTCCTGGAACCATAAGCTCAAATAAACTCTTCTTTCTATAAGTTGCTTTGGTCAGTGTTTCTATCACAGCATTAGAAAAGTAACTAATACGCCCACTGAGCCATCTCCTCAGCCCACATGAAATTTTCTATAATTCTATTCACCAAAATGATGCAGCATGTAAGTGAATTCTGCACAACTTCAAATTGAACGGCACAAGTTTTCCCAGTGTTCTTTGTTGAGGACTCTTTGTATCAATTAAAAAATGATAAAAACAAAGTGTTTTACTGTGACCTTCATTTGGCATTTGTGTTAACTTTTCCTATCCTATTTTATTTAATTCTTCCCACTTCTGATGTTCAATTAGTGGTTGACCCCTTTAGGAGAGATCTAAATTAAACGACATTTCAATGCCATCCCGTATTTAAAATACTGTGTTAGTTGTGGATCATAAATGATGATCTTCATTCTTTAGCTAATTTATTCATTTAACAATTTCCCTCCAGAAGTTTCAGCAGAAGGCTCCGAAGCAAACTAAGCAGAAGAAATCCAAGTCGGCTGATTTTCTGATGGGTGAGCCTTGCTTCATGAGTTATTGCTTATAATTTGTGTAAGGATTAATTAACTAATTACAGACAAATGGCTGTGGGCGAAATTTTGCTCTTGCTTGTCAGGGTGCAATTTGTAATTATTTTAATCATTTATTCTTTTTTTTTAAGAGTTAATTTTAACCTAATTCTGTTTTGGTGACATTTGAGAACGATACACTGGAGTCTTTCTGCACCAGAATTACTGGAAGGAATTTTCTGCTTGTCATTGGAACCTGCTTTGCTATTGTATGGTCTTCTAACCTCCTTGTTTTGCTCTAGTTAAAGAAGACGGAGAAACTACAGAAGGCATTGGAAATCCAGCTTTTAATATGAGCAGCCCAGACCTCTCAACACACCAGACTTCAAAAGAGAAGGTTACTAGACGTGACATGCCAGGTCACACCCTTACAGCTCCCCTCCAAAAATTCAGGCTGCAAGACTCTGCAGAAGCAAAAGGTGTGACTTCAGTCTTGATTAGCCTCACATTCATGCTGCCCTTCTCATCTGACCTGGGCATCCTACAGCAGGCACCTGACATTCCATTCCCGCATGCCTGCACAGCTTCTGGGAGGCTCTGCATGAGGCTCAGAGGGGTGGACATGTGCTGTCATTGGGTGCAGGTCATACACAACCTCATGGGTGAAGGACGTTGAGCACTGAATCCATCCTTACTTGGGTGGCTGGGATGGACTAGGTTGTCGGGTTGTTAACACCCTGGGCTCTCGTGTAGACAAGGGTTTCAAGGTTGGCACTCCTTGAAGAGGTCACCTGGCTAAGGCATTTGAGGACTATGTTGTCATCATTTTACGCTTCAGATTTTATAATTTTCTTCTTGAGTAAAATCATATTTTCAATATAGGTTTAGAAACTCATGAAAGTTTTAAAAATAAAGAAAGAATATTTGAATATTGAGAATTTCCTTGTAGCGGGTTTCCTTTATGGAAAAGCTTCCTTTCTTCTCTGGTAATGGGCTCTACAGTGGAGGCGAATCCTCTCTCTGCATCCTGTCCTACTGTGATCCATCCTGGTTCCTCCTGCTCTAGAGAGCTGCAGTTCTAATCCCTGCTGATTCTATACCTACAAAAGAGAAGTCATTTAAACTTGCTGTCTTCACTCTTGTCTTTATCACTGAGAAAAATGAAAGACATCAGAATTTTCATGACCAGATAGCTCTTTGAGAGGAAACTCTGAAGTAATGATGTATGAGTTGACGCAGATGTGCTCTCCGCTGGTCCCACTTAGCAGCCTCATCATGAGATTCCCACCTGCACAGAACAGGGCTTCCAAATTCTAGTAGGTTGCGATGGTTAATTTCCAAGGCTGGGGGAAATTCTCCCAGCTTAAAGGTTGAGACTCACTGTATGGTATCACACACGTGGACATCAAGTAGATTTAGCTTGGCTTTTACTTTCCTTGCTTGGTAGGTCCAAGAGTGTTTTTCTTGGGAGTCCATGGGCCCGTGGCAAGATGGTGGGTTCTTGATACCATTACCAGCAGCTTCGGTCCTTTACTGCATATCAATCTTACACTGGCACTTAACGTTACTCTACCCTCTTTCATTTTATGAATTTCTATATTTGTGTTTCAGATTTAAAAAATCAGCGAAAGGTCATGGTAACAGTCATCCAAACCTTGTAGTTCCTAAGCTACTGCTTTTATCTCGTGGTTGACAATCATTTGAAATCATCTCTATGTTCCAAGCACTGAAAGAGAAGAAGGCTGCCTACAGACATGCCACTCCGGTTCATATCTCTCTTGCTGGAAACTGGTCACGTGTTCACGGGCAGCTTGGAAATGTCTGTGGCTAGAAGCCAAGTTTTAAGTTGAAGTTGGAGGGATTCTATTCCTAAAGAACATAATATGTATTGGAGTCAATTAGCAGATCTTACCCAGACACATGTGGTTATCTTCTTTGTTTGATTTAATTATTTTATTTTATTTATTATTTTTATTTTATGTGTATGAGTGTATTGCCTGCATGTATGTAAGTGCACCTCTGTCATGCAATGCCTGAAGAGGTCAGAGGAGGGCCTTGGATTCCCCTGGAACTGGAGTTCTGGACGATTGTTATCTGCCATGTGGGTGCTGGGAATTGAACCCCGGTCCTCTACAAGAGCAGCCACTGCTCTTAACTGATGAGCCATCTCTACAGTCCCTATTTTCTTTGTTTTTATAAATGAGAGGGAAGGGCTTATTTTGGTTCCTGATTTCAGGAGTCCATGCTCACTTAGTTCTCCTGTCTGGAGCTTGTGTCAGCTTAGGGCATCACTGTGAAAGCATATGGCAGAGACTCACCGACTAGGAAGCAGAGTGAGGGAAAGAGAGAAAGAGAGGGAGGATAAAGGAGGGGGGAGAGAAGGGGAGAGGGAGAGAGGAGAGAGGAAGGTAGAGAGGGAAGGATGGGGGAGGGATAGGGAGGGAGAGGGAGAGGGAGAGAGAGAGGGAGAGAGAAAGACTCAAGGTCTCAACATCCTTTGAGGGCATACCCCAGTGACCTACTCTGACTTCCTCCCTTTCTAAAGGTTCCACCTCCTCTCAGTTGTACCACAGGATGACAACCACACCCTTGGCACAGTGACCTTTGAGGAACGTGTCAATTCTAAATTATAGCAGTTTTCTCGAAAGGAAATTGGTCTCCCTTATTGAGCTCTGGTATTCTGAGGAGAAAGACATATCCTTTAGCTTGCTGGAAGATGAAGCTTGCTTTCTTTACAAGTTCATGTTCTATCAAGGTAGACAGAGTTCATCAATAAGAGTGCTATTTCCTGGGGACAAATGAGAGTAAGAAACTTTGTGAAAACCAGGAGGAGTGCCATTGGTAAAGAATGAGCTGGATCAGATATGCTTAGCTGTTTGAGGCTCAAGAAAATGAAACATGAAGAATAATAACATTTATAATATGTTGAGAGAGAGAGAAAGAGAGAGGGAGAGAGAGGCAGAGAGACAGAGAGAGAGAGGAGGGAGAGAGAAAGAGAGCTGATTTTTTTTCTGGGGAGAGGTGAATGAAAACCTGTTCATCCCAGATAGGGCACCAAGAACATTCCACAGTAACTACTTCACTGAAATCCAATTTGGCAAATTTATTGGGATTACTTATAGGCGTCTAAGTGAAGGTTACCTATAGAAACAAAGGGAACTTTAAGGCAGCTGCATTACTGAAAAGCCCAGCTCAGCGTGAAGGATGACTTGTGAAAGCTGTATCACAGGAGCTCTCTGAACTACTGGCAGGCAGCATCACAGTTGGAGCCCCTCCTTCTGGAGCTCAGCACAGTAGGAGAGTCTCCCCTCCCCAGCTATTGCTTGTTTTTTTCATAACTTTATTAGTTTCAGGAACTTCCTAAGACTTATGAGTTGTTTACTTTCTGGGTCTAATGCGCTTCCTCCCAGAGGGGATATTTCACTTGTGAGGAAAGTGTTACTCAGCAGAGAGAAAGAGAATCTTCAAGTAAAAGTAAATATTATTGGCAAGCACTAGCCAGTAGGCATACAGTGTATAGCATAAGCCACAAAAGTGATTTTAAGTTTCTAGGAGCCACATTAACAAAATGACAAAACAACAACAACAAACAAAAACAAGTGACGAGTTTAAAAACATTTTATTTTAAACCAACATCTCCACAATAATATCATTTTGACCAATAGTCAGTGTACACTGTACATCTATATCTATACCTATATCTATTTATGTATGTATGTATGTATGTATGTATGTATCTATCTATCTATCTATCTATCTATCTATCTATCTATCTATCTATCTATCATCTACCCATCTATCATCTATCTATCTATCTATCCATCTATCTATCAATCATCTATCTGTCTAATTTCTCTATCTTTGGTCCTTTAAAGGCAGGTCCTCCCTGTAACCCCAACTGTCCTGGAACTCACTATAGGCCAAGCTGGCCTCAGACTCACAGAAATCTGTCTGCTTCTGCCTCCTGAGTGCTGAGATTAAAGGTATATACCACTACATCCAGCTTATACAGATATTTTATGATTCTTTTCCATTTGTCTTTTATATCTAATGTGTTTATAACTGCAGACCTTGCCGCAAGCAAGTCCCATTTCCAGTCCTCTGGACATTGTCGATGGACTGAGTCCCACTCACTGAGAGATAAGAATGGGCATGGAAAATAATAATTTTCATGGGTGGTAGTTGGCCTGACTCTGGAAAACAAAAAAATTATAACCCCAAAGTAGAGCCAAGTGAAAGAAAGCAAAGATAAAAAGAGTTTCATGGAAAACTCCAGGAAATGTTTATCATCCTCACCCATCTAGTCAGACAGTGAAATAGAAAGGGCTTGTACTAGCTCTGTCCCGGAACACAGCCAACACAGAAAAAGTACATTTGATGTATCTCAACTCCCCTTTGGGAGAGCCTCTTAAATTTCAGTTGCAAATGAGATGTGCAATTTTATGGTTCCTGAACAAGGAAGAATATTTTAAGTATGTGAATTTAGAAACTGACAGATATCATGGAACTTAACATTCCTTGTTAAAATAACTTTAAGAAGAACATTTAGACCTTCTTCCACATACTTTCCCCATAGTATGGCTACAATTAGTACAAATTATCATCTTACAAGTGAATATCAATACACTTCCCCCTTACAGATATATTTTAAAGGAAAACCTTCTTAGGTAATGGCAGAAATCCAATGCTGCATATTTTTACAAGCTATCTCAAGGAAATGTAAAATTATTACATAACAGGCAATGTCTAGGAGAGAAATGTCTAGGAGAGGGGTTCCCTAAGAGCAAACTTTGGATAAGAAAAGATCTCAATTTATTGTGGCTTGAGTCCCATTATAAAACACTAATGAGATGGCTCAGTTGTTAAGAGCACTGGCTGTTAGTGTGGAAGACCCAGGTTCAATTCCCAGCACCCACATGGCAGCTAACAACCATCTGTAACTCCAGTTCAAGGGGATCCGACTCACTCTTTTGACCTCTGTGGGCATTCCATGACACAGGTGCACTTACATACATGCAGACAATGTACATATACACACAAAATAAAAATAAATAAATAAAACACTAATGAGTAAGTACATACCAGTCTTTAGAAATAGGTGAAATGGACAACTCCTGGGTAGCCTGGTAGGATTTTAAGGTAGTTTGAATGTCCTTCATATCCACTTGTGCATCGCAATGTGAAGGTATCCTTATGAACTTACTTATCAAGACCTTCTCAAGGACAGCTACTGTGTGTTATGCACCTGACATCACAGCCTGGCATTAGGCATTTTGCTGTAATATGAACGGGAAGCAAACCAGAAAAGACAGCTCTTGGGCTTTACTTACTGCTTTCAACACATCTGCTGGCTGCTTGGCCTTTGCAAACTGTCTTCTAAGGGAAGCTAGGCTCGTACTCTTCCGGTTGATGTTGGCCTTTCATTTGCAGGCAGACAGCTAGCAAACACATTAGCTCAGCCGTGAATTCCTGAGAAACACACAGGTATGCATCATTTTGGGCTGCATGCTTTCTGCTCTGTCTTGCTCTGACCCTGTGTTTCCTGTGCACACTGTTTTTCTGGTCTTAGCATCGTTGCTCATCTTCTTTGCTCACTGTTGGTAATTCCCCAGCCTAATGATGACTAGATCTCTGCAGAAAGGAGGAATTACAGAAGTTGAAA